ATCAGGATGGCAGTAACCATACAACCAGAATAGTCCTGACGCTTGTCTTCCAGTCTCATACTTCAGGTACAAATAAGACTCCTAAATGAGATTCCTCTTCTGATTAAGACAAAGCATAGAAATTCTGCAGCTGGTGAAATAGATTCTCAATTTTTGACTTCTCTACTGAGAAGCACATGTAGGTACAATTTTGCACATAAGTGTTTTTGTATTCTAGAGAACTGTGAAGAAAGGTGGAGGGGTTCAATGTAGTTTTGGTAATTCACCAAAGCCTCAGAAACATCCTGGGTGCTTTATGCAGAATTTCAAATTTCTGGTAGACTCAAGCTCTGATCAAATCTGTACAATCCCTGTAATCATGTGTAACAGTCATTTAGACTCTTAGTAACAGGCTTACAGGAACACACATGAAAAAAATGCCCAGAAAGAAAGCAGGACAACAAAAAGAAACTATTCTGAGAGTCATAAGAGTAGAAAAAAATAAGAAAAGGTTTTATTGCTACCTGAAGTTCCAATCTTAGGGCTTTCTAAAAGGAATACAAATAAAAGAACATATCTCCTTCCTTTCTAGCAAAACCAGTCTGCATCCTAATCTGTCAGGGTTTCCAACAGATGCCTCAGCAAAGCCTTTTGAAAACCAAAAATTAACTTTTATCATGCCACATTGCAAGACAGATATTTTAAAGTTTTAGGTCTTCTAGCCATAGAATGCTTTTTAGGGGAAATCTCTCTTGTGCACACTGGTAGTTCATAGCACAGCTGGAGTGCTTTTGGCAAATGAAAGGGCTATAATGACATTGCTGGAGTTTTGTGTTGCCTACCTCTCTGTAACCACTGGCACAAAGCAGCTCTGAGAGCTCTCCTGCTGCAAGAGGATTTGCAGACTGCTGGGGGAACAGGGAGCTCCAGAAAGATAGCTGAGAGGGAGGAAATTGATCCAAGAGAAGGCACTGAACCACTGCAAGTGGATGTCCCCCTAGGAGAAGTGAGGGCAGGGACGTGGTAAGAATATAATTACAGGACATTTGCTTCCACACTTGGATACCACTGAGAGCAAACTCATGGCTGTCCTTATCACTGAAAGTGCAGATAGGGTTCTATGGGTACCACCACCTGATGGAGTGTTAGAGGTGCCCTGCCGTGCTGCTAGGGCCAAGAGGGCCACAGCTGTGATACCTATGTAGCTGAGGATATTTTCCATACTTGGAAATACCAGCCACATCAGCTACTATGTGTGGGTTCCCCTACAGCAGGCTTAGCTTTTGTGCTGCATTAGATGCCTTCTCCTCACAATACTTAGAGTGTGGTGCAATGAACAAAAACCCCTGTATCACTGTGAAATTGTGACTGTACCACATTGATCTTTAAATCATTGGGCCTAAGTTAATGAAGTAAGTAACTCTCTGTCAGTGTTAGAATGTGTGTTAAGCTGAGGTAAGTATGGGTTAAAATCTGTTGTTCTCAAGAGGTCTGAGAAAAAAATAGCATAAGGAATGAATCTCTGGCTGGTAGATACTGTCTTCACTAGAGCCTTGTTGATGTATAATAGCTGGAGATCTGATGCAAGGCATGCTGCTAGAAGTACTGTGGGAAGACAAAAATAAGATTTCAAGTGAGGAGAACGCTCCATGCTTGTAATTTAAATAATAACTACATATGCTTTTGCTAAAGCTGCTTTTTTTTTTTTTTTTTTTTCCTGATTGTTAAAGTTGTCTAGATCAAAATTCCTTGTGGGCCATCAGCATAATTGCATCAAATAATAAAGCTGGAGAAAAAGTCTATAGTCATAATAGAATGTCAAAGAGTAAAATGATAACAGAGTCATTAAAGCCCATGCCAGACAATCAGAAGCTATTTCCATTGAATTTTAACTCACACTGGGACCAGAAATTTGCTGAAACACCCGCTTTTTCCCACTAAAGTGAGTGTAAGTTCCTGCACTGTCAGATTTGCTGCCTTTGTTGTGCAGTAGGTTGCTGTGCTGAAAGTGCTTTTTTAGCACAATTTTAAAAAATAGGCATCCAATAGGAAATCTGTCTCTCTTTTTAGGTACTAGCTGGTATACACCTTCATTTTCTGCATAAGCCTTTTGATATTTTTGTTTCTGAAAAAGATTTTTTCCATGTTTTCATTGTTTATATGGAGAGTATATGGAAGACTATTTACATAGTAAGGATTTCTGTAGGATGTGCCTTCAAAATCTACCAGTACTAGTTTTAGATATTGCCTGGATTCAATGAAATAAATATATTGATTTTTTTTTTTTCCTTCTGTCTTCTGTGGTAAAGGAGGATAAAATAAAATTTCCCTGTAAGAGGGATACTTTGAGTATCCCAAGGGAAATATGATAAGGACACCACCTTGTCTTCAAATAAGCTGAAGAAACAATTCAATTCATGGCATAAACAAGGTTTCTAGCAAAAAATGAGGTAGTCATTTTTAATTCTGCATCTGCCAGATGCTATCAAGAAATATGTACTTTGTTTTATTGAGAAGAGATATTACATTGTTTGAACAAGTAGCTTGATTCTGTTGGACTCCAGTCTGTATTTTGGAAATGGATGAGAAGAATTTGCCTTTTATCACAGATGACCAGATCCTTATGTACCTCACCTCAGCAGAAGACATAACATCTGTATACCAGAAGAACCTCCCATGAAAAACTTTTCACAAATTGCTCAGATTTCTTCTGCTGAGCAGTGCCAAGACTACAAAGAGAATTAAAGTAAAACTTCACATCTTCCATGATGACAGCCTCCGGGTATTAGCCATAGACAGTATGACACTCAAAAACACAATAGACTGAAAGCATCTTGAATGCTCTGTCTTTAATTTCAGCAAGGACAGTTGTGAAGAGCAAGTCTCCAGAGCTGAATGTTGGACATTGCTTGCTAGGTATCTCTTTGGGGTGTAGTCTAAACGTTTCTTGCTTATTCATATGAGGGGAGTTTTGGGTTGTGCTAAAAATTGACTCTCTTTCACCAGCTGCTCTGAGTCTTCTTGGCTAAGGTGTCAACTCAGTCTCTTGATGATGCCTGTATTTTTTTCAACACTGGTATCCTGATTACTATAAAGTGCTATATTACTATAAAGATCCCTCTCTTTGCTTTGGCCTGGGCTGCAATACACAGTTTCCACAATGGGAGTCACATGTCACAGATTACATGCATCTATGCACACAGTTAATGTAAACTGGCTACACTTCACTTGTTTGCCCCTGAATACTACCTCCTTCTCCAGCTGTACAAGCCTGCAGGTAACAGATAGCTACCAGAAAAACATTTTCCCATCAGGAAGCAGGTCAACAGCTGCAAACCAAGACATTTGCTCAGCAGATCTTTCTAGTGCAGATACAGTTCTTATGGCTTTTAGCTTGATTTACACATTCTGGGAGAGGGCTGGGGCTCTGCTCCAGCAAGATTTGGGCTCTGTGGTTGGCAGGGCCAGGACACCACTTGTTGAGTGAGAGATGAAAGGTTGCTTTGCCCCAGCAAGATTGCAGTATATAGGACTGGCATGCTGTACAGTACAGTATGATGGTGAGGAGTGAAAACCCCTTCCAAAAGCATGTGCTGACTACCTTTTAAGGGTTTTGTTGTTCTTGTTTTCCTCCATGTGCCAACTGTATGACCTAACACACAGATTTCCCTTTGACGTGGAGAACTGTTTGCTGAATAACACAACTCCATCCTTCATTTCCTGGCTGTCTGCTCGCCTTCCCCCACCTCTTTTCTAACAAAACATACATTCTTCTCTTCTTTTGTGCTCAGATCTGCATACATATTCTTTGATTGCTAAATTTTTCCTACATTAATTGGTTTGATCAGTTCCCAGATGTTTATTTGCATCTATATGTACATCCCAGCAGTCCTCCCCCCACTTTTATAAAAACATATAAATATTTGAAACAGAAACACATGAATGTAATTTTCCCACTTTTGGTATTTTTAAGAAGTACTTCAAATATTGCAATGTGGTGGGAAAACAAAAAACAGCAGAACTCACTCTAAGATGTAGCAGTATTACTTGTGCGTTAACAGAAAAGAACTGCACTGTTTCTAACTTCAAACAGAGTTTAGTGTTATGCTCCTTCAGCATATGGAGGGGTTGTTTGATGCAGACTTGATTAGGATTCTCTTGGGATCTATTCCACATCTATTCCACATCCTGCCCATTTGTTTCCTTAGACAGATATTGCACACAATCCCCCTCCCTTCCCTCTGGAGATGGCTCATTGCCCTCTGTCTGAACTGCTTTACAAGGACAGTGGTAGGGAGCGTGTGGTGATGATGACGAAGACTGCATGCCAAGCAATGGATGGTTCTTATAGGGGAAAATGCAGTCTGCAGACACCCTGCCTCCGAGTCTGACATTAGAGGCAGCTTTTCTCCTTATCTCTCAGCACTTAACAAATATGCTGTTAGGCATATCTTTTGCGTGAAGTGCTGGGTTTGAAAGCTGAGACAGGTGCAAGGAAGGATGAGATGCATGGGCAATTTAGGAGCTACAGTATACGTGGGTACAAAAAGAAACAGTTCAGCAAAAAAGCTGGCTTTCTATTCTGGGGTTTTGTTGCTTTTTTGTGTCTCCTTCATTCTGAGATAGTACTCAGATGTATTTCTTCTTTGTTCTTAATAGTGGCAACTTTCTTCTGGGCTTGCATAGAAATCAGAATCAGGAAACAGGAAGAAATTATGGGACTGGCAAGCCTGTGAGCCATAAAAGAAATCTAAACAAGAAAGAAGTTACTTTTTTTTTTTTTTTTAAACAGGGTGGGAAATTGTTCCTTAGGTTACTCCCACATGGAATGTAAGGTGACTCCACATTGCCTGCAGAAGGAAATTATATCCTAATAGATCAACTCATATAATTGGGGACAAAAACAAACAAACAAATATGCATTTAGGCAGAAGAGTTATTTTTTAGTTGGGAAATGGAATGTAGGAGGAATACATTAGCAAATTAATAATCTCTCTAAAAGGGTAACTGGATGAATTTTTCTTGCAGGTGTTATATAGAGCTTTTGGTCTCTTCTGGCCTTAAAAACAGTAGAGGAAGTAGGAAAAAAATCACCTTCCAGCAGAGAAGACCTTATATTCCTTTTTGACATAAAGGTATGGGCTTATTGAAGATGGTAAGAACAGCAGAGCTGTAACATGACCTGTTCAACACATGTGTTTTCAAGATGGCCTTGTTGTACAGCAAGATCCCCACCTTGCCGCCTTGGCACCACTGAATTGCCCCAGCCCCTACCAGTGCCTGAATGATACAGATCTGTACAACTACACAATTCTCCTTTTTTTTTTTTTTTTTTTTTTTTTTTTTTTTTTTTTGTGGCAACTTTTTGTTTGTTTTGCTTTTTCCAGGTTTGTTGGAGAGTTTCCTTTAATGTCAAGAGGTGGGTGTCTCTGATTTTTTTTTTTTTTTTTTTTTTAATTTTACTCATGTGGTGAGTCACATGAAGCCTCTTCACTCTGTTTTTTTTCTTTGCTGTCTTTGTTACCAGTCCTCAGCCTAAAAATGCTACAGTGGAAGCAAGACCCTGGATGGATTTGTAAGATACAAGAAACCAGTCTGTGAGAATTATCTTAAGGTGAGACAGGGTGACTTCTGCATGCTCTTCATGTGCTTTGACTCTTGCTTTTAGCAGGAGAGCTGCAGTTATGTAGTCTAGTCTTATTCCTTCACCATTCCTTCATCAGGCTTGATCAAAGAGGAAATATCTACATTTTGTTGTGGTTTTGCTATGTAATTTTCCTCATATATTGGTATCTGATGGCATATGGCATCCTGATGTTTTACATGATATACTGTTAATATGAAGATAATGCAAGCTAGCTGAAGGATTGGGATATGCAGAGTACAGCCATGGCCAAGCACATTCTGACTTGGTTTGGAACATGATTTCATACTGTTATCATTTACAGTGCAGAAATGCTTGTCAGAATATGTATATCTAGTTACAGAGTGAAGGATTCAGTATTTATCCTCAGTATTTTCTAGACTACTGCTTGCCTGGATGTTGCCTAAATATGGATACCATAGCTAAAACACTTAATTTTAGATTTTACTGTTCACAGGCCCCTCGTATTGTCAAATGAGAGAGTTCAGTACCATCCAGGGATGATATGGCCTATATGACTGGATAATCTTTTATTGTATTGTCTCCTTTCCTTTCTCTACAGAAGATGACCATGTTTCTTCTAATGCAGCCTCCTCAGGTAGGTGTCTAAAGCTATGTATGACTAGCATAGGTCTAAGAGCTTTGGTTTTATAATCTACCCTGCATAGGTAGCATGATCTCCTAGCCTTGCACTCTCTCATTACTTGGTGAATTCAGGTTGACATGGATGCAGGGGCCAACATGAACAAAAAGGGTTGCAGGATCATTGCCCAATTTATTCTTGACATAGGGAGAAAAAATATATTTAGTGAGAGGAGGGAAGAGGATACAAAAAATACATGGTTTTAGTGTAATGTAACCAATTATTTTAGAATATAATTGAGCCATTAATTGGGCCTGGGTGTTAACTGAGAAAGAGATACATTCTTTAATAATATAAAGTAATTATCTACAGCCATTTCTTTTTTTTTTTCTGCCATGCTTTCAAGCCTGGCTCAATTATCCATCATTCCACACAGTCTATTACTAAGGTCAGCCTCTGCAACATAGTGCAAATTTCTGTCAGTTTTCTTTTGTCTTACTGTGGCACTGTAGCAAAACCCATGAGAAAGTCAGTAATTCTGTTTGCTGAGCTGTGGGTTTGCAAGAGACAGCGTAAAGCCACATTAACAACAAGGGTGAAACAAAATACTTAATATCTTCCAGTCAAGTGAACATTATACATATCTGTGCACTGAATTAGACAGGACCCATAGAAAGAAAAAATAGTATTGCTGAGTAATTAAATGTTCTTCCATAATGTATATACTCAAGGAGTGGGAATATGAAGTTTTTCTGAATAAACACATTTCCTAATTTCTCTTCTTTCCTCCCTGCCACATCCAGTAAAATGTTTTGTCTGAAGTCCACAACTCTCTGTATTTGCCTGGCTGCTACATTAAAGCTTAGGAAAGGAAGCCCCAATATTTACTTGCCCCTGGGCAAATAGCTATGTCACATTTTCTCACTCCTTAATGCTAGTAACCATTATCTTTTCTGATAGCTTCATAGATTTTACAACTCAGCTGTTTCAAATTATGAATAAATCACCAAGTTAGAGTGGAAAATCCAATATCCATGTCTTTACTGTACTCCTAAATTAACTGATCCCAACCTTTCCTTCATGATCCTTTGAACTGCCTTCTGACAGGGAGTAGCTGAGAGTGGATTCCCGTAACCAGGCCTTCTGGAAATGCAATGAGGTCTTCTTCAGAGAGGAAGGGTACTGTCAGTGCAGCTGACTTTCCTAACAACACTTGCGGGGGTGTTTTATTATTCAGTTTATTCAGAGCAGGATTAACATTCTAAAAATTGTTCTAAACAATAATGAGTTCAATCTAGACAATGTGCAAAGCCAGAATTCAAATTTTCAAGATATACCCACAAAGAATATTTAAATGAGTAGTCACACTGCATTTATCCTCAAGATACCTAACAAAAACAAAGCTACCAGATTAACAGGTAAGTTTGCCATTAGCTTTGCATTTCATTCTTTTTACTTATGCATTAATTGCTTTTGTCTGATAGGAATTATTCTGAAGGAAGAAAATGATTTTTTGATGTGTAAGGTGTGTTGATATGTAAATATGGCAAATATTCAGGGAACATGTGAAGAAGAATGAAGTGAAAAATTTCATGTGATGGGACATTGAGTTAGAATACAAATTGCCATAAGAAGTGAGTTTTCTTTTCTCTTAACAGAAATGGGAGAGATGATGATAATAAGCTATTGTTACATGTGCTGAATGCATTTAATACTTTTAATTAGGATGAATAGACAGATGCTAGAATTTTCCTAATGGGTCTGCATATTGCTCCTTGTCGTTTTCCTATAAAAATAACACTGTTTTCTGTGCAAGGATCACTGCAGATTTATTTGCCATGCTGACTCGCTTCACTCCTTTGGGCTTTCCTGATTTTTTCCCCTGTCATTTTCAGACATTAAACAATATTTAATCAATGTAAGAAAATGCCCAAGGCTTCATAAATGTGGCTTTGCTCTTCTAATGGTTGCCCTTTTTAATGAAGCAGATTCAATTTTAACACCTTTTCAAAATGTTTAAGGGATTTAGGCTGCTCTTGCACTTTCAGGCTTCCCACAGTGCTGTCACTCAGGGAGCATGGTCTCGTGATGGCATGCTAGTGAGAGCTTTGCATTCTCCTCATTTGCTTTTGTGGTTGCCAACAGACTAAATTAAAAAATGTGTGGCAGAAAATGAAATTATAATGATTTGTTTTTCTTGGGAAAAGTATCTATTCCCTATTTTACAAAGGAAACAAACAAACAAAAAAGAGGCTGCATCCTGTTTTTCCAGGGAAGCTACAACTTAAAACATCATGGGTCTTTTCATGAACAGGTTGTTTAAGGTCACTTACATTACTGAATATGGAGTGGGGTGTAGCTTTTTCTCTCCCTTTTCTTTCACTTAACTCAAATAATGCATAGCACAAATATTACTTACCACACATAGAGCAAACTGTACTGCAGAGTGCCCTGCAGGGACCTTTCCCTTCTGGAACTACCCTGCGGTAAAATAGGAGAAGGGGGAAGGCAAGACCTAGGCAGCTTCATGTTGGCAGAAGCCTGTAGTAGTGCAAGAGGAAATAAAACTGAATTGATTATCTCATTGGTTGCCTGCAGGTTTTTATGGTACCCAGATGGAAGACTGTCCAAGGAATTGGGAAAGATGAAGGAGGTGGTGGTCAGAAGATTCAGACTGAAAAATACACTACTAGTGAGGAAATGGGGTTTTGATACTTTCAACTTCTGATAAAACAGTATTTGGTAATTTTCTAGTTTTGAAGTACATTTACCATTGTAGCAGAAGGTACCTTGCCATTACATGTTAACAGAAGATACAAGTACCATTTGAAGGAAGAGAACATATCTTTCATACTTTCAGATGTAATTTGAAGGTTTGTGCAGAATTGTCCTGCAATAAGAGTTTAACTACAGGCTTAGTTCATACAGGTATGGGATGGACGCTGTTGGTTTCTGTTCCTTTAGAGGACTTCATACGGACCCAGTTTTGTGGAAAGAACTATGTTAAGGAAGACTGTGCCGGGTAAGAGTGAAGTATCACTATGGGTCTCACACTTTCTGTATGTCAAATATCATTTGATTTCCTTAGAAAGTTTTCTGACGCCTCTTCTGCCATATTGTGCCTGGCAGGAATGTTGCTCTGTTCGCTTGATGATTCTGTTGCCAATGAGAAGTTGTCACTGATAGCTCCTATTTCTTTAATAAGATTTTGTTTTGTGTTATTTTGACAGTTCATCATCTTCTTGGTGGATCACATAAGAATTTACATATTAGTTTTACTTGTTTCTGAGGACAGCAAGAATTTTGTTCTGTAGTTGGCTTGAGAATTTTTTATCTTGATGGAACTTATCAGTTTCTCATCCACAATGACAACTGTTGAAATATATATTTTGGTTAACAATCGAAAGAACCATGTCTGTAAGGAATAATGAGAACAAAAATTTTATGTGTGTACTAGTAGCACAAGAGAGAGACTCTGTTGTAACATATTTTCCTGTGAAGTTTATTGCTTGCATGTACTCCTAGGGCACATTTGACTTCCTCTGACTGTCAAATGAAAGGAGCTGAAGATGTGATGTGCAGCAAGGCTGGCCTGCTCTGGGTGAACTTATTGGCTGGTCAAGAGGGATGGATGCATAATGCAGAAGGGAGAAATTTACCAGGCCTAGGGGACTAGCTGCAGATTTAGAAAAAGCTCTCTCTGCTCTTTTTAATACTTTAATGACTATCATTGTCAAAAATGTGTTTTGTTGCACCTAATGATCTATTTCTCTGGGGCAGCTTAGATCACACTGTAACAGTCATTTTTAAGTTGCTCAGATGTATGGGATTATGACTGATACCTGCAGAACATAAGAAAATTTGCTTGATACTCCATGACACAAACTGCAGCAGAGCTTTTCATCATTTGGAGGAAAATGAGGAAGGAGAAAGAAGGGAGCAAGTGCAGAATGTGAATAATTTAAGCTATTTGACTGGCGCTTTCTTGTAGTTCCAGACTGCTAAATCTGATATAGCTGTTTAATTTCAAAGGCAACTGCACTAAGTTTCCTGTTTATAGGGCAGAGCTTGGAACCAACAAGACAACAGCACACAAGAGCTAAATGATTTTCTCCCAGGTCAGCACTAAGCACTCTCAGAGTTAAACTTTTTTTTTTTGTAAGTTATTTTCTGTAAGTTATAATTTTAAGTCATTTACTGTCTCAATGCACTAGTAATCCTGAAACAGATGAAATGGAAGCCCTTTCATTGTATCAAACACTTTAGACTCTTTTTCCTCGGGAAAAGGAAAGGTTTCTTTCTTCAAGAAGACAAAATCTGCATAAGAGAGTATTGCATAGGTGATGACAGAGCACATACCAGTTTGGATTGATTTCACATGCACGCTTACAGCCTGGGGTCAGACCTTACTTCCTCTCCAGTAATGGGTCTAAGGATTGCAAAAGAGGGAATAGTTCTTTAAGAGATCTTTTGTCCCTTCCCTGGAGCCCAGAGCCCAGGGCTATAACTCGTGGTCTTAATTGTTCCTTTCTGCTCTTCAGTGGTCCCCTTACTTGGGACAGAGAAATTATATGATGGATATGAATGGATACAGGTGAGTAAATGTAAAAGAAAAAAAAAAGTCTTGGAAACAGATGTCAGTCTTCCCGCTGCATCTCTCACAGCTGTAACATTTAATTCGAAATGGGGAAGCATCTGTCCAAAAGAACTGCTTTGAGATGGTCAAGCATATCTTTGGTTCTAGAGACTGTAAATGTCCATATTCCCACAGCTTTCTCTCAGACACCAGAGCAGGAATTTACATGGCCAGGATATTCTTGCAGAATTCTGGTAGGCCAAATAAGTGTCTGGCATCACACATTGGACAATCGCTTTTACATTTTCACTTGTCTGGCAAAAAAAATTACATTCTCCTAGCTTTATATCTTGGTTTTCTTCATTGTTTTCTGAGTGATGTTTGAGACTCTGAGCAAGCTGCCATACTTTGGCCCCAAGGGATGGGCCACTCATCTTCTCCAAGCTAAAGAATCCTCTTCTAGATACTATTAAACTTGGAGAATCTGAAAAAGGGTGCTTGCCTTCTGATAATAAATATTATGAAGCTGTAGGGGATGGTCTCAGCTTCAATCCTTCATTAGAGATCAGTGTAAGGAAGCAAAGGTCTATCAGAATCAAGTTAGCTCCTGCCTGAGAGCATGACTAATGGCACAGGATCAGGGCCATTGCATTTCCTACTGGTGATGTTAGATATGCCTTGAACAAAATATCAGTTCCCAAACAGCTGAAGTAGCTTATAAATCAACACTTTAATCTTTTGCCTGGCCCTTTTGTTTGCCTCATTGAGTAAGCCTTCCTTCAGGCTTGGACACTAAAGGAAATAGTTTGCTGCAACTAATGTTCTGTCTACTTACCAGATATCATATGGACTCCAGACTAAGCTCATGTGCACAGAAATCAGATACTTAACCTTTCACTTTTTAAATATGCATCATATGTGCAAGCAACGTATTTAGTATAAAGTGGCTGGGTGACAAACACAGAGGAAGGGACTCTTTTCTGAAATCCCAATGTAACAGGAATAGGTGATAGTCACAAAATACTCTTCCTTACTAAGGGGGAAGATAATTTAAGGAACTGATGTTGTGTCAGTTTTATGTCTTCTCCCTTAACACTGAGAACTCTGCATCAAGCTGTAATGCAAACTGTATTATTAAAAATGACTCCATAGCTATACACAGCAAGACAGTTATGTCCTGATGCAATGTATGTCACCCAAAGAATGTCACACTTTGTTCTTCTCCCTGAAGTAGTTAGAGTTATAAAGAAGTTCTGAAGTGTTTTCACATGAAAGAATCCGATTCTAATGAATAATGACGGGTTCAGCCAGCAGGCTGCAAAACTCCTGAAAGCCTTTTTAAAGGTCTCTTCAGAAAAAGACTACAAGGAAAGTGAAACACATGGATGTTTCATGGTGTTGGAGTCTTAACAATTGGTACATCTCCCTCTGCATTATTAAGGTGAGTTCTCACCACCAAACTTTCTTCATAAGACTTCTCTGTTATGTGGAGGGTGATGTTATATATGAACAGGAATAGAAATACTTCTTATCTCACTTTGGTACATATGTGATGCACTGCAAAACTTTAAAACATTATAAGTAACCAAGAGAATTTTAACAGAGGTATTTTTTCAGAGTTTTTTTAAAGGTTGTTTTTCTATTATAATCCATATTCAGCACCACTAGAATATGACACGTTGTGAAGATCTTGTCAGCTGAGTTCACTACACAATCCACAGGCTCTTTTAGTTCCACTGCTATATTTCTTTCTCTATAAGCTTCCTACAACAGGTGGAACTTCCCTCACAGGCTTTCCCTTCATAGTCTACAGTCAACCGCAAGGATGGTAGAAGTCAGTGATTCTGCTAACTAGTTGCTGATGTGTCTGCAAGTCCTTCATTGACCCTTTTCTTGTTGCTGATCACATTCACCTTTTGATCACATTCATCAAGACAAAAAGCCTAATATAGAATCAAGAAGGAAGCTGCCTTCTAAGTCAGGAGAGCAATGCGTGGAAGTCCATTGGTGGAGGAGGAAAACAGCAATATGCCATGATATTCTCTGCTTAGATACAAACTCCAAGCAGGAAGACTTACTGAGCTGGGCCACTATCTTTAAAATATTGCAATTCCTAGAATAACATAATCTTATTTCCTTATGATCATTAGTTGAACAAACAGATGCTCAGAGACAGTTTATTGAAGGTAAGGTGTACATATAGTTCAAAGGGTCATGAGGCTTGCTAGACAAGCTGTGGGTCCCATGGCATGACAGACCCTCTCTGTTAGGCATGTTTCAATGTTTACTTAGTGTTCCTCATTTTTAGTGTTTCTAACAATGAGAAAATCCCAACAAATGGAGCTCACATGTGCTGTTATTCTATCAAAACAAACTATATTTTGAAAACTTATTAAGGCCCTTAGAAGCCAACTCTTTTTTTTAATTTTATTTTTAAATAATTAGTAAAGGAGCTTAGTTGCATTAGATGTAACTACTTGACTTCTTTCTTTTGTTGTCTTCCAACTTGTATCTCCTTTTTCTGTCACAATAAATGACAATAAAAATAAATGACTGGACAATGAAAGCATGTAGACATGCCTCTAAATGTCCCACCTAGTAAAGAGTAAACTATAGGCACTATTTTTACTTGTCCACATTTTTCAGAATTCACTGGTTTTTGATTTGGAAGGTGAAGGTGGGTTTTAAAAATTTTTATTTTTACTTGTAAGGTTGACAGAAGCAAACCCAAGCCTACAACTAACCCGTACTGTGCATGAGGACACATGCATACTCCCAAACCACCCAGGTTGCTTGCTTGTGTGGGTGACCTGCTTGGGACATTATCTGAAACATTGCTGTCTCTTGCACTTTTACTACAGGTTTTCAATGAGGAAGAATTTCTGACAGATATTACAGGAATGAAATGAATTCTCTTTACTTTTGTAAATCCATTTATTCCTTCACAAATAGTCAATCTGATGTTTTATTTTTATTTTTATTTTTATTTTTTTTTTATTTTTTTTTAGAGAATACCAATCTCCCCATCTTCTTTCTGGAGGAAGCTGGGGACATAGGATCTCCTCCAAGGCTGCCTAGTTCAGTGAATTTAAATTGGACACCTAAACTAACTTATGCAGAAGCCCCAGAAGAAAAGCTTCCTGACAGCATTGGGAGTTAGATGGTGTCACTGATTATTCTGCTGTTTCCTAAAATGTTTCCTGGACTATTTCAGGTAGAGGGAAACAGCTTGCATTACTGCAAGAAAAAGATTAAATTAAATTGCTTAATAAGAAAAATGTGTATCTTTTCCAACATTTCCAGTGCTTGATGGTGCTACAATAAATTTTTCTGTTTGTCCATATTTTATGGAGACAGGAACGTGAGTAGAATTGATTCTAGTAAAGGAATGATAGACCTAAGAGACTAGAGATTCAATTCTCATTTGTTGGCTCTTGTATCGTGTTGAGTGAGAGTTAGCTCATTTCATGAAGCAATTCCTACAAGTCTGGGCTCCAGTGCTGCCACTGTAGAATTTGGTAGAGAGTCTGAGAAGCTTTCAGACCAAGCTATTGCCGCAAGACCATAAGGAATACAAGCGTAAGGAAGAACGAATACATGTGCATGTATGCTTTAACTAAAAAATGCAAATTAATAGAAGTGCCTTCTTGATGACACAATCCAAATGACATTTAATGAAAGATGGTGTATTTTGATGTGGCAGGCTTAGAAAGGATTTCAGTGATAGTTATGAAAACAAGACACTAAAAACCCCTGTGAGTGAGTTACTGATCTGCATATGAGTATTGTATGACACTCAAATAGATGAGGATAATCTACCTCCCCAGAGGAGTAATTGTATTTTGGAAGGTGGACAAAGGAAGAAAGAACACTCTTGATCAGATGGCACAGCGTTTTTTAATTTCTCTGAAACAGCAGGCAAAGTACTGAGAAGTGTCACAAAGACTATGAAGAAAAAACAAAACGTGATAGTTGCATTTTGTTTCTAAGGACTTTTTTCTGACTGGCTGAATCATTCTCAGTGCTTCAGGAATAACAATTAGATAAGTCTCCCAGGGATCTGAAGTTTTCTTAACATCTCTTGCGTAAGGAATTTGGGAGTGCAGGGCTCTCCCTGGCTATTCTTTTGGAGGGGGCAAGTTACAGTCATTTGGTTTCTGTTTCTAGTTCTATGCTAAGTAACTGGGGGTGGGGGGTAAGGTGGAGAGGCATTCATGCATATCTATCCATGTATATCTATACCTGCATCTATTTATTCGTATGCATACATGTATTACATTTCCTGGTAACAACAGGTACAAGATGCATTTAATTCAACAGTTCAGAGTACAGAAATAAAATAAAATAGCATATACTGATACTATTACCAGTAAAAAAGCAAGAGCATACGCTGTATTTTATGTCCACTTTAGAGAAATCATCAAGTTCTTTGGTATATCTGGGACTGCATTTTAGAGTTCAAATATATTTGCATTTCATGGCCACCCTTTCCACTGCTGGAGCTGCTCTGCCAAACATCATAAGGTGCTTCAGGGCAAAGTCTGATATGGATCTCTTCTTGTCTTTGCCTTAGTGCTACTGTGGTACTTCAAGAGACTGATAACTCTCCTTGTATGAGTGACACATTTCACCCAGCTGCCAAGCACACAGTTCCATCTAGCAAAAAACCCCTTGATTTCCTTCAGAAGTATTTTTTACTATGAGCTGACAGTAACAGACAAACGTGGGCTCTTAAAATACTGCATTGTTCTTCTAGCACTGTAGAGTAAAGGTGGATAGGCTTTATGTGCGCATGCCTGAGGGAGAACTAGAAAAGCTCCAGATTCTCCCGACATGCCATCTACTTGTCAAAATGACAGCCAGCTGACATGGATCTGTATTGTCTGCATCCTGAGAATTCTCAGTGCTATTTCTGAGTTGTCCTCAAAATAGTTACTCTGTGCAAAGGAGTTCACAGCACACTGAAAAATCCTCCCTGTACCTAAGCAGTCTTTGGGAATTCAATGAAAGATTCACTCTGGGGCATTTCCTACTGAAGTAAGATAAACTACTCTGTATTTGCTGCTCACTGATTAGTTAATGACAGTTCGGCACATTGATGAGGGCCTTTTCTAGCACAAATAATACAGAATTCTGCACCCCTGGTCCAAGGGGATCTGCAAGGCATGTGAGGAGCCTTGGACTCTCTCCGTCAGGAAGCCAGTTAATGTATTTCATACTAGGGAACTGTGATTCCCCTTTGCCTTTACCCTTCTGTCTGAGATCTACCTCTGCTGAAAATATGCATAGAAGTGTACCCACTTGGAATATGCACTGCAACTGAGCATGGACGCAAACAAGAGAACAGTTGGTGTGCATGTGCCAGTCATGAAAAGTAAAATTATGCTTCTGAACTAAGTGTGTACTGGAAATTTTCATTCCCAGCTTAGAGGTCAAACAGACACCAGGCTGCTGTTCAGGGGAGAGCTCATCATACCCAGATGCCAAACAGTAAGTCATCTCTAGCACATGAGCAACCAGACTTTGTAAAAGAAAAGCAGTTTTGCCTGTAAAGCTGCAAAAATTTACCTGACACTGGGTAGTATATATGGAGAAGGCACCATCTTCATAGGCAGAAATCCATTCTACCAGCTTCTTATTTCCAAATTCGATGAAAGGTAAAGCTGCTGAAGGCAAAACATAGCAGCCCATTCCTCACTTGTGAGCTGAATAACAGGATTATGCTGAAGTGATTAATACTGTATTGGTTTCCTGTGCAAAGTGTGTAAATGAGACTAGATTTCCTCTCAGGCTAACTGGCATATTTACGCTATTTGAGGAGCTAGCAATGAGCTCTAAGGGTGACGGGGTATTTCTGTTAACTTTAGTTAGATTTATACTACAATGTGTCTGAGAAGAAGACTTAATTTGTGCCCAAGGTACAGAACCCAGGAAATCTGTTCCTAGTATTTTCATAGACTTCCCTTGGGATCTCTAGCAAGTCTTATAATCATATTATTATTATTATTATTAATAATAATATTATTATTATAATATATTATAAATATATTATTATTATTATTAATAATAATAATTTCTGGCACATGTCCATTGACGCCGGGGGATTTGGATTTTGTAGTTCCCTTTGAACAGCCACATTTCTGCTGCAATGCATCACAGCTCAGCTCAGACTTTTTGAAAATATAGGCCTGTGCTTTCACCTCAGGGAACAACACCGCCTCATGTTGCAGTCCTATGGGAAGGTAAAATTAATGTTTCAGAGGAGCTCAAATATAATGTGGCAATGCCTTTAAATAACAAAAATCAAATCAATTGAATTCTCATTGCCCAAACATTCCTAGCAAATTGGCTATTTTCTTTTTGCCCCCAAACAACTGAAGATGTATTATTAAAACTAAGCAAATACAAATGCTAAGTAGTATGAAGAGCTTGACTCATACCAAGAGTTAAAGCTGGAAATAATTCTGTCCTTAATCCACCCTGTATTGCCCTGTGGTAACATCAGCTGTCATACCAGAGGTCTAGTAGACTGCTTACATTCCCAGTAGATAGCAGAACAAACTGGCCAAGGCACATTTTTGCTGAAACATTCATTGAGCTTCTCATTGTGCTTTTACCTGACATTTAAAAGATCACTTAAAAATGCAATTATTATTACCTGATCATTGCAATAAATTTGTTGTATAAATGATATATGGAAATGAAAGTTCAGGTTGCTTATGGAATACATGAACTGATTATTTTACCCTTTGCACATTTAAATAAAACTTGACCTGATCTCAGAAGCTTCAACTTGTAGGGTCTTTATATTCTGTCTTTTATTATTATTATTATTATTATTATTATTATTATTATTATTATTATTATTATTTTATTTTATTATTAATGTATTTGTCTTTAACCAGTGAATTCCTTGGCTTGAGGAGCTTTCACATGTAGAAATACCTAAAAAATATGCACACGATGCATTGTTATATAGTTGGAATGATTTTCAAATACATGGAAGAAATTTGGTCACTGAACTCTTTAAAAGTATGTAAATATTTTTCTTGCATATGTATACATAATATATCATGTCTGTAGTAAAGTTATTTAAAGACAAATCAGCATTGTTATACCTTTTATATATGTGGAAATGAAATTACTGGAGTCACTGAGGAGGCACTGCTGATGAGATTACTGAAAAGTGGAAGAATAAAATATATAAAACTTGAAATCCCTGTAAAATTTTATGACGTTTTTTCAGCATTGATAATGTGGATGAAAATAATGTGTATGCCCTGAGACTGCTGCAGTGCATAATTAACTGATGTCTCCAAGGCTGGATAGCAGGTAGTATCTCAAATGTGACTATTGTTGGTCAATGCCTGGGAGAGTTTTATACAGTCACTGCCGACAATAGTCATACTAATCATCCCTTCATCTTACACTACTAATTAGGAAACTGGCTTGCGACCAGTTAGAGGATGTCTTCATGTGTCTTCCTTTCTTCATGCATTAAGTTGGGTTTGCCCACCAGTGCCTTCTGTTCTGTTCTGCTGTGTTGGGATTATTCATCTGCCTGAAGCTTGAATTCATTCTCTCTATTCTTCTGTTGTGTCCTCACATCTGGACAATAAAAGACCCAGAAGCTATATACATGTATATCTTTGTACCACTTTGCTCTCTTCTTTTTTGAGGGACCTTTCAGATCCTCATGAAATGATTGTGTGTGACTTCATCCTCCAATATTGATTCACATAAAAGTGGCCAGCTTACACATTTTGTTTCAAGACCAGCTTTACAGAAACTAATGTTATGTCTCAAAGGAAATATATCTTTATGAGACAGATAACCACTACTTTAGGTATTTACGGGGAAAGTTAATCCAAATACACGGAGTTGCATAAGGCTGGGCATATTTTTCCCCATTTCAATTTGTTTTTGAGGCTTTAATGGAACTAAGTAGGTTAACTGCTTTTGACTCATTCTTGAAGCAGATATGAATTTCTCCCAGGTTAGCTGACTGTCTTCAGTTTACTGTAGTACTGCATTTGATTTTTCAGTTGATAGGAATGAAATAGTTACACTGTGTATGTAACTTCAGTGTAAAATAGGCAGAAAATCTGGTATGTCTGCAAGAAATGAGTTAATAACCAATGAATAGCATAAGAAATGAAGCTCTGGTACTTCACTGCTAAATTATCTCTTGCTCTGAGTTTCTTAAGTGCTTTTTTCACTGATCCTGTGCCCTAGGGCAGGGACATATATATATATATATATATATTTTTTTTTTTTTTAATTGTTTTTTTTTCAGGTTATATGCTCCTTATCAGACAGCTTTTCAAGCAAGTTATATTGCTGCTTATGATTATGTCAAATCTGTGAGAGTGCGAACTTTTCAGAGCATTGAGTTTACTTAAACCACTGCACAGAGAGAAAGAGAGAGAGAGATGACCTTGCAAAACTTCTGGTGCAGTTATGAGGTTACCTCTAATCCTGATCTGCTACAGCATTAAGTAAGGCAGATGGTTCTGGGGAAGGGACCTGAAGGATCTGGAATGGCTGGTTGAGGTACCAGTGGGTCAGTGAAGAGACTCTTGTAGCTTCACAGGATGATCCACAAAACCCCATGGGCTGACCTGTGTTAACTGCAACTGAAAGGGAAAGCAGCTGACAGTGCTCAGTCTAGACTAACCAGCTGAATAAATATTCAGTTCTTTAATGACTAGGTATGACTGAGCCTGAAATGTCACAGAGACTGCTGATATTTTTGCCTTAAAAAGGCACACTGTGAGTTGCAGTGACTGGAGAGCTGCCTGCTAGGCAGCTCAGATCTCTGGGCAGAGTCTCTCTGGCCAACCTCTACAGAAACATTTGGGAGCATCCTCACTTTTCCAAAAACAAGGTATTGTTACCCTGTGCCAGAGCTGTAACTTTACTAGGCGGATTTTGCTCAGTGTGAACTTCCAATCTGATGCTCTTTTACTGCTAGGCAGGTCCACGCCAACTAGCGTTGAATGCTTGCACAAGCTCTCGTCACAGCGGGGACTGCACTGCAGATATATCCTGAGGCTCCAGTTCAGCAACAAAGTACAATGGTCCACCCATGTCATTTAAGCTTGTTGCATGATCAGGACCTGAGCATTGGACATGAGTCTGTCCTGGAATACTGGAATCATTAAAATGCCTACAATGGCTTATCAGATAAAAATTGTATTGATGCTTTCTTGGTTAATTTCTGATAAATAGAGCTGTGATTTTACATGACCTTCATTTCTCCAGATGGCAGGTTTTTCTATCAAAGAGGACTACATTGCAGATGAATGTAATATAATTATGTAACAAGTTACACATAGATAAAAGGGTAAAAAAGGGTAAGCATTAGTAGACACCCTTAATAAGAGGGTGCGTTCCTTCACACTGACAACATCTGCTTTACTTCCCTACACCCACTTCTACAACAACTGATGATTTATTTTAGTTCTAATGCAAAAGTCAGATTTCAGATTTTAACTTTTAGTTCTGCATTTGTATTCAACAATCCAGTGTGAAAAGATGTCCAAAAGTCTATTGCAGCAGGTATGTGGACATTTGTCTGTTTGGCTAGGAAGGCTATTCATTCTAAACCTCTGTATTAAACTATTTTATTAGGACTGTAGCAATTAGTTTAAACTAGGTAACTACTGACACAGTTTAAAGCAACCACAATATTATGACTGTTGAAATACCATTAAGAGTCTCATAAACAGGTGAATTTATGCTATGGACTTTTCCCAAGGCTTTATTAGAACTTGCACATGAAAACTGCCATACCAAAAGCCAGCCTGCAGTTGGTTATTTTAGCCTAGGGGAAAATGCAAATGCATTTTTTAAAGCAAAAATTCAGGCAACTTAGAGTCATTACGATTGTAATGTGAAATGTTACAGTACTCAATGCATGTATGTTGTTCATTTGCACAAACATTGTATGATGTTTTGCTTTGTTTACTCCTCCATATACAATGGATTGTTAAAAACACTCCTTTTTCTTTTTTCTTAAATAGCTTTCTATTCACTGTTTGTAGTATGTACAAGTACTGTTCAACTAGAAGACTTGCCTTGAACTAGCTTAGTTTGTAGGCTAGATAGAAGTGGTCTCTGGGCAGGGTCAAAAGACAAAGATGTCTGTGTGCATCAGCCTCTTTGCACCCAGGAATCATCACTGCTGCAAATGGTTTAAGAGTATTTAGAAGGTAGCAGAGTCGGATGCACAGTGTTTTTTCCTTGCAGGGGAATTTTGGCCTTCTGGATCTGGGAACTGTATGTTATATATCCAGGGGAACCCTTAAAATGATAATTTTCTGTGATTAGTTATTATTTTTTAATTTATACATACTTTTATTTTCTGCCTTTTGCTCACAGATTAAAGTTCTGACCTTGGAATATGAAGTATCACAGATTCTGACATGCTGTTTCACTGGCTTCAGCATCAGTAACTGCCACTACGGAAACCAAAAATCTGCTCATGCCTTCACAGTATTGAGCTCCAAAACCAAGATGTCCTTGGGAAGAATGGGAGCAAAGAGGCTTTTGCTAGACTTTTAGCTCCTTATTTATAAGCTTCACAAAAGATACTGAAGAACCTTTGATTCAAGAAACACCTTTTATCTGATATGTGACTTTAGCTGAAGTGAATGCTCATTTTTCAATTTTGTCTGGGGTTTATTTTCAGGTAGATTATTTTGGAAGAACTCTAGGTTTTTACTCACTACTGACGTCAATAATGCTGTCACCAGAATCCCAGAATCTTTTTTTTTTTTTTTTTTTTTTTTTTTTTTTAACATGCTATACTTTTGATAGCAGCATAGGGAGATAGAGTATTCTCCTGGCCTTTTCACTCCCCCTCTTGTGTGTGGTATGGTTGGGAATTCTCAGTAAGTGGAGCAAGGACAAGACACAGGGGACAGAGTGGCTGTCCTCAGAGGGTGAGGCATTCATACCAAGTTCTACATAGTGGTAGGAGATATGACCACCTCCTGTCTAGAAAACACTAAAAGAAGAAAATGGTGATGATTCAGTTTGTATGTTCTCAGACAAGTGCAAAATGCCTCATAAGCCAAATGTAATCCCTGCGCTTGTCCTTATTAAATAGTGTGGGCATGTAATAAAACTCTGTGGGCTTCCTTGGTGCAGAAGCCTGTTAGGGAACACAGACAGATGGAAAGCTATCAGAGAAGACCTGTTTTTCCTCAGGCACCTCAGTTGTTAGAGCATTGGTGCCATGCTTCCAAGCTACCCTATGATATGAGTAATGATAACCTGTTCTGCTAGTGGGAGCAGAACAAGACAAGAAGGCATGGTGGGAAAGAAGGCACTTGTTCACTTTGTCTTCACAAAATATTGTGATGGGCTTATTAGGCTGAACAAAGAATCTGTGCACACAACTTCCTATAACTTCTCATGCTGAGATGAGATGACCTCTTTGGTGGTTCTCACAATTACATCTTTGGTCTCTGAGAATCACAAGCTGCCTGCTGCTGTCCAGCTTACATTCTGTTAGGTTGTGCTACTGGGAAATAATAACAGATCAGAAATGCTGAAACGACCTGCAAAGTCACAGTAATTGATTGCTCTTTGTTGCATGTTTGTGAGAGAACCAGGATCTGCATGACTGTTAGGAATACAGGACCACAAAGATTAGATGCACTGGCAGTTTTGTTAGTGAAAGCTTGAAGGTGTCCCTCTGAGCTGCTCCTGGCTTTATCCATTGCATTTGTATTTGCACAACCATTTTGTCAGGACAGAAGCTTAAAATCTCTCAGACAACATTGATTTGAAATATTACCTATACAATT